AACCTTTACTATAAAAACTTAGGCCCTTCTGGGGATTTAGCTCAGCGGCAAAGCACCTGCCTGGCAAGCGCAAGGTCGTGAGTTCGGTTCCCAGTACTGGAGAAAATCCCCCGCCCCCCAAAAAAAAACTTAGGCCCTGAGTTACTGTGCTTTAAAAATACACACACACACACACACACACACACAAAACTAAGGGTTGGCAATTCAAGAAAAAGCAAGTTTTAGAGCCAATAGAGCACAGCCTACCAGTGAAAGCCCCCAGTCTAAAAGTCCCATGTTACTAATGACCCCCAAGCCAGGGGTTTTATAAAGAGAATTCTTGGGTTGGCAGCTGTATTGGATTAGATGACATGTGAGGCTTGTATCTACTCTTAAAAGTGTAGTAATTAGTAAATAATTGTTTATTTTCTAGTATTAATGAGCTCATCTATCATATCCTGTCTGGATTGTATACACAGTAATGCTTTATTTCCTGGGCCAGTGTTCTCTATGGTCACTTCTGCAGATTCTTGTATCCTAATACAAGCAACACAGTCATGAAAACACCTTGATGTTAACCCATGGAGACCTGTGTCTGGCTTGTCTCACAGGAGTATAAGGTAAATATGTGTTGTGGTAATTGTCGTAACATTCTCAGAACACCAGAGCAGTTAGTAGGCATGCTGGTGGTAACCCATGGCATGCGGGAGCAGTGCAGTGACTTCTGAGACTCACCAGATACACTGGCCTGTGAAGCATTGAGACCTGTGGTACCTGTTGATTTGAGCAATGTGGGGGCAGCGGTATGGGTTGGAATTGCCCAGCCTTTATTAACTGCTTAAGAAGCCTGGAAAACAAAATGACAGGTTCAAGTTAGTTAACAGTTCAAGCCAGAGTGGCTTTAGGACAAAGTTTACGAAGAGCTTTATCTCCTACCACAGAAGGAAACTAGAATAAGGCCAGATAGCAAAAGGAGACTGAGATGGGTGGATGAACCCGGAAATGTTACAAAACAGGATTCCCCTGATGTGAGGCTGGCAGGGGCAGCTCATTCCTACATGCCTGGATACCTTGCCAAGGCTTCTAGTGAGGCAGATGCCTACAAGATGATGCTTGATCTCCTCCAGAACCTTGTCTATTGCTTTCTTTGTTCTTTAGAGCAAGAACCAAAGTGAGGTCTCAGCACAGGCCAAGTGGGAAAATACATCCCCTGTGTGTGTGGAAATGGCATAGATACTGAAGGAATGGCAGAACCTGGCTAATACTATCGGTGGATCTTCAGATGGTGGTGGGTTAGAGGTGGAAGTTGAGGGAAGAATGTAAGGCAGAATAAAGGACAGCTTATTGTCTTGGGAACCTATAACTTGGAGTGGCGGACATCTGAAATGGGCCCTAGTATATTGGGGTATCTGTTTAGGCTTGGGCATGGTTATGGCCAACAGTAAACTCAGTGGAGATAGTGGAACTGCCTTGGCATAGCAGTGAGGAAAAGGTTGAGTGATTCTAGGTGAAACTAATACTGGAATGAATTCATTATGTGAAACTGAACAACCACTTAAATGTGTTCCCTAGGAGGACATTTCTTTTACTAAAGTATCCCAGAATGCACTAGTGAGGGATGCACAAGCACCCATGAAAAGCCCGATGGCAGCTGGCCACTGTGGACAGGGGTTGACAGTAAGAGATGCTGACCTTAGACTGAGCATGCTGTTATAAAGGAAATGATGGGATTCTAGAATAGCACAGGAAAGGTGAACACAATATAGTGGATAGTAAGATTGGACTAGTAATCAGAGTGCCTTGATCTGCCAGGCTTTGTGACAATGGCCAAGTATGATATTCTGAGAGACAACTGATGTAACCAAGAAAGGAACAGAAGAAAAGGGGGTGAGCAGAGGGCAGAGGTGGTCTGCCACAATGAGGAAGTCATGGCCTCACATGTCACTATTAGATTTAAGTCTACAGATTTAGTGCACAATGAGGACAGGATTAGTCGATAAAAAGCTGGTGTTCCACAAGTGTGTACTGTATAAATCACTTACAATTTTAAAGGACTCTTGGGCACCATCATGGCTGTATGTGTAGATGGAAGCTTTTGTGAACCAGGCAGAAAACGAAGTTCTGGTCAAAGTCTATCTCATACTGGGTCTTACTTTAGGATTATTTTCCCAATCTCTGAGTATATATTTATATCAATATACTTAGACCCGTGTTCTGTGGAGAAGAATCATTGTAAGAAGAGCCAAATAGAAGTGCCTCCCTGGCCATGGTAATAAATCACGAGTAATCACATGAAAGAATGCAGCCATCAGTATCACCATCTGAAATTGTAAGGGATGTAAGAATAAAAGCTCTATGTTACACAAGATGCCTGAAACCAAACAGGTGGACAGAGGATGATGGTGCCCCACTGTTAGTCTAAACTGTGGATGCCAAGCTGAATATGCTATCTTTATTGATGTTTGATATGCAGCTATTGATATGGCAAATGCATTCTTCTCCATTTCCATCAGAGAGGAGGACCAAAAGCAGCTCGCATTCCTCTGGGACAGCGACGATCATTCACTCTATTTCCCCAAAAGATGTTAAACTTTCCGTTCTGGGTCACAGTATAGTCGAAGGACCTCAATCATCTTCACGTTCTGCACAGCATCACGCTGGTTGATTATATGGTGATGTCATTTGAGATGACTTTAGCTACCAGGAACTGGCCAGTACTTCAGATGCCCTACTCACACTTGCATGTTCTCAAGTGTGGGTGATAAACTCCGTGAACAACGGGGGGGTGTGTCAGATTAGGGAAGTATTTAGAGAATCAACCAGCTAAATGTTTAATCTAGATACTCCTTCTACAGTAAAGAAGAACACTTTTTTTATCCCCACTTCTTAGCATTAATATAGCAGTGTTTCTCTGGGTTTTGGAAGCACACATATTGCACTTGGTGTACTATTCCAAGTCTTTTATTAGGGCTGGTACTTTCAAGTGGATTTCACAAAAGAAAGATCACAGAAGTTGTGAGTCTTAGAACAAATTGAGGTGCCACTCAGGCTATGTGCACAGCAGTTAATATTCTATGGAGTCCTTGGTGAGCCCCGGAGAAGGTTCCAACACAGCTCTGTGAGATCCTAGAGGAAGACGATGCCTTCTACAATAGGAACTACTCGGGTGCATGGTATGCTACTGACCAAATAAAGACTGAGCATCTGCTTATGGGATATCCAGGGACTAAAAAATCAGAACTGTTAACTTATGATCTGGGCATTACCAGGTCCATAGAGTCATAAATTCACATGAGCACAGCAATGATTCATCCTCACTGAAACTGACATGAAACAGTTTATGGATTTGCCTTTCCTGCCCGCAATGCGTGCTGCATGCTAACACCTAGGAAACGCTTGATTCTTTGTCGTGGTATCTCTCATAACCTTGCCCCAAGGGATCACTTCTTTGATAAAAGAGGTGGGACAATGGGCACATGACCACAGGATCCTGGCATCTTCCCATAAATCTCAACAACAAGTAAATACAATGATGGGATTGTCCGGCTAAGGCACAACATATAAGGCAGTAACCTTGGGTTGGGTGGTTTCCTCCAGGGTTCAGTACGTATGCTTTAACAATGGCTCATATATCCCCATACTGTTAAAATACACAGGTCTGGGAACTAATGGGTTGAAGTAGGATTGACCATCTCATCTTCATAATCAGTGGCTCATTTAAAGGTTTTGCATTCTTTCCTACAAACTATGCTTGAATAGAGGTTTGGGTTTCCAGGGAGCAGAAGGACACTTTCACCAGGGGACCCAGGAAAGGCTCTAGTGAATTGGACCCTATGAATCCCACATGGTTACTCTGGGCTCTCCATGCCAGTGGACAAACAGGCAAAGAAAGGCATTATACTGGTGGGGATTACTGACCCTAATAGCACAGGAGCTAAAGAGGAATATGTGTGGAACCCAAGAGTTCCATTGGTGTGTCACTCTGGGGCTACATGGCAATAGTGAACAGGCAATGGCAGTGATTACAGCCACAAGGATGAGGCGGCTAAGGGCTCATGCCCTGTGGTGATGGAAGTTTGAATCACGCTACCCAATCTACACCAGGTGAAAGGCTGGCGAAAGTTGAAGAAAATTTAGACTGGGTGATGGAGGAATGAAATAGGCATCCAAGTATAGGCTCAGGACCAGCGTCAGTAACGACTGAAGCTCGTGGGTTTGAAAGCCTGGACCCCAACCAGCAGCACTGGCATTACCTAGGAACTATTACACTACTAATTCTTGCCGATGCCCCAGAGGTACTGAATAAAAACTGGGATTTAACAAGCTGTCCAGATAATTCTGCACCCTAGAGCTTCCTGGGCCCCAACGCCTTTCCCTGACCTACAGAACGTAGACCTTTCAGGCCCCACCCCCTCAAAAGATGCACTTGTCAGAGGGCAAGGGAGTGGAGCACAGGGTAGGAGTGTCCTGTGTCAGACCGCATGTCACTTCAGGTCCTCCCGCCATGCTTCCTCCAGCCACTGATGCACTGAGCATTTCCATGTCATTTTAAACAGCCTCACACAGGTCCTGACTGGCCATACCTTGTGTCAGCCCAATGCTGTGTACTACTTCCTTCCTGCCCCAAAGCTTCTCTGACACAAGGGCAGGGGAAGCACAGGGGCGTCACTTGGCACTCACACAGCATAACCTGGATGTAGTGCAAGCGGCACCATCGGTCACCCTTGACCAGCAGACAGGAGCTGATGGCTAAATGCTTTCCCCTTTCCTGCTCTAGGGAGACAGCTGAGTTTTGTTGCATAAGGCTTCTCAGAGGACCATGCAGGACTGAACAGCACTCCCTGTACTACTAGCCAATTTAGTGATACACTGCTTCTCCTGTTCCTCATGCCTGTGCTCTCAGTTCACTTCCTAATAAACTGCTGTATATGGAAGGCTCTGTCTTAGGCACTGGTTTCGGGGAACTCTGTCTGAAACCTCTGGAAGGTTTGTGGCATTTTTCAAAAGTCACTCCTCTTCTTCAACTCTTACGCTTTCTACACAAAATGGGCTTCTTTAAAGATCCAATCCAAAGTAGCAAGCTTCTAATATCACATTACTATATCTGAATTAATATCATACACATCCTATACTAGAATATCACGCATACAGACAGTTGCTGGTGTTTTTGTCCTGTGCTAGAACACACCAGCCTGTCATTCCTTGCTAGTCCTCAGGACCTTAGAGAGCACCTGGCATGTAGTGGGCACTGAATAAATATTTTTTGCTTAAATGAATGAATGCTGGAGTTTGAGAATAAGACAAGAACACAAATCAGGCCAAAATGTGGACTAATAGACTTTTTGGAGAAAAATGCATATCTCAAATTTAAATTTATTTAAAATTACAAAAATGTCCCCACTCAAGTTGTCCATGAAAAAATTTAAAAGCAGCAACAATGATCTTCGTTAACTATTGGGAGCCAACATAGTTTATAAAATTGAACAAAATTTAGATGTGTGTCTTATGCCTTTGTAGACTCGGGACCCTTTCTTTAGGTTTCTTTCTTTAGGGTCTGGTAATATCATTACTGGGACACTTTCCAAAGCCTTTTTCCTTTGCACTCTATGTAAAATGATTCTATAGACCCCTGTAATTGAGCTTCGAGCGTCTCTCCCTTGGTTATTTCGAATATGCTCCTCTGTGATACCTAAATGTTCTAAAGTGCTTTTCACCTCATTTTCTTCTTCTTTGAGGGTGCTGGTTTCTGACAAATGTTTGGGATCCAGCCGGAAAGGCTCCAAGGGGGTGGGATACGGCACCCCTTGCATCCACTCATTGTTCATGATGTAGTTGATCCCGTACCTCTCGGTGGGTATGGGCTGAAGAACACCTCGGATGAGCCGGTGGCAGGGCTCCGACACGTGCGGCGGCATGCTATAGGTGCCCTCGAGGATGCGCTTCTTTAGTTTGGCCACAGTCTCTGCCCGAAATGGCATCGTGCCAGTCACCATGAAGTACAGAAGCACCCCCAAGGCCCAGATGTCCACATAAACGCCAACGTAGTGCTCATCTCGGAAGAGTTCAGGGGCAGCATAGGGAGGAGACCCACAGAAGGTGTTCAGCATTTCACCTTTTTTACTCACTGTGCTGAATCCAAAATCACCCACCTTCACACAAGTACTACTGGTATAGAATACGTTTTCTGCTTTCAGATCCCTGTGAATAATTTGGTTTTCATGCTGTGGAAGAAGACAAGGGGGAATCAGTTTCAAAGTAAAATGCCAAACATAAAATGTATCAGTTGGAAAGGGAAAAAGAAGGG